TATGATTTTTCAGTGCCTTGTAGACCCAATTGATATTCTAGGCTATGGGTGTTGATTGGGTGTCACACTACTATGACCTACACATGTTTTGCTGCTATATGATAGAATGATTAACTCCATCATTGAGGTAGACCTTAGGCAAATAGGTGGGTGTTATGCAATAAGTACATGCACTGAACACGATCGGTTTTGAGAACACTTATGGAATGATCACTGTTAGTTTAAAAGGTAGTTCTATTACAATGCACTTATTTTCCTTTGACCTAAGAGGCTTGTATAAATTAATTAACTATTCATTTAACTTTGATATTGTCAATCGGTGACGCCAAACCAAAGGCTATACACAGACATGTTGAGTTATGTGAGTGGTAATTGATTTATATAGGTGCTTAACATGGAATCCACCATTCTCAAACTGAGAAAGTATATTCAAGTAATTTTTCCTATTAACGTTGTACCAAAAGAAAACCGGCCGATAACTTTTTTCATAAAAATATTTTTATTTGTACATGTGTAATTATAAAAGTATATTTTTGAAAATGCTTTTGGGGTCCAATTAGAAGAAGGAAAAATTTAGAATTCACCTACATGAGCTATGATTTTTTATAGTGATAAATTTGTCCATACCTAGTAGCTCATGTGGAATATAGTTTGGTGGAAGGAAGTTTGTGACCAATTGTAAGAAAGGGTCTCACTTTTAATTCTCTACTTTTAGGGGTTTAATTGTAATGTGTTGATGGGCATTATTACAATTAGTGGAAGTTCTATATTATCTATTTAAAAGATAATTAAATGTAAAATTGGATAAGTTGTATCTTGCAAATTCAAGATAAAATATACGTCTTTTATTTTATCCCCATAACAAAAAGATAGAGATCCCTAAGGACCCCACCTACATGCAAACTCTATCATGTGTTGTGTATATATATCAGACATATTTGATACAAAAATTGGCCATCAGAATTTTTAAGGTCTATAGAAAAATACACACAAAATAAAAACAAGAGGGTGCAAGGTGAATTACTTTGGAGGCGAGACACTTCGATCGCTTGGTGAGGTACTTGGATTGAGGTATTTTAGATTGTGTAATCAGGTGGTGTTTCTTTGAAAAAAATTATTTTTCACCCGCAAACTTTCATTTCCACAACCATCTCAGAACACAGTAGGAGTACTTTTTTTTGAAGTACTTCCCATCAAATTTAAAACCAATAACATGACATTAAGAAAGGAATAATAATAATAAATTCAATAAAAGAAACAAATCACAAGGCAAAAGAAAGAAACACATGGTAGTATATGTATGATAGAGAAGAGAGGTATAACTGCAAAAAAAGATGTGATGGGAACTGCAAACATCATGAGATCACAAAGTCATCGTATAACACTCACCAGCTAAGCATGGGACCATAAATTGTTTACGGTCAATGCATTGATCCAGTTACTGATCGAACTTTAGTCAAAATCACAAACCTTTGGAACACTAAATTTTTTCATTAAAGTAGATATGACACATCCACAAAACTTATCACGTCTTTTACCTTATCAATGTATCATCTAGATATCGCTGGAAAAAGAAAACATAGCAATATTCCTAAACTTTACAGCATTGAAAGATTGTTACAAAACTGCAGAACAATACTACATCATCAATTGGTGAATGTTGGACGGTTGGAATTTAAAAATTAGGCCCTAAAGCACAGCACTTGCAACTCTCTCTCTCTCTCTCTCTCTCTCTCTCTCTCTTGTATCCTATTGTAATTTAAAAAGTAATTATGGTTTCACAGTTACATATCACATACACCATTAACAAAGATTTCACCATGCAAGCAAATAAACACAATTCCAAGCAATGTTTTGTTCATATGGTTCCAAACTGGAAAAAATTCATGATTTTTTTTACTTTTAAATTCACAACTTTATCTTATCATCCACTAGTAATATTGCTAAACATAGAAAGTTTATAACATCAACCTTTCAAAGTAAATTTGATGATTACCATATGGTTGACTGATTGTCTTATCACTTTGTTGATCATCTTAACATAAGTAGGTAACTTCAATAATTCCAACATGTAAAAATTATATATTAAAAGAAAATATTTAATTTTTTTTAAATGCATATTCTACATGTATTACAGTTTGTAAGAATCTCTTTAAACTTTCTGGTCGTTTTTTTAAAAGAGGGTATTTATTTGTTTATTTGCTTATAAAGAAATATGTATAGATAATCAACTCAACTCAAGAAGCCTTTGTCCCAATTACTTGAGTTAGCTACATCGATCTATTTACTATAATTGATTCTATTGAAATTAATATCCCCAGTTAAGTTGTAACCAATAAATGAATACTTTTATCACATCTAAGGGAATTGATTCAGGTTAATAATGTCTCTAGATCACTAAGGCTGTGTTTGGTTCATGGATTTGAGAAGGGATTTAAAAAGGGAAAATGTGTGTGAAATGTAATTATATTTTCAATGGTGCTACACACACCAATTACTATATTAATTAGTGTACCAACACATGCTATAGCAATGTAATTACAAAAGGGCAAATTACATAAATGGTCCCTATAGTTTACCCATGGTTGCATTTTGGTCCCTGTATTTCTAATTTCATCAATTTTGCCCCTACAGTTTTGGTTTTTGGCTCTATGTGGTCCAATAGTTAACAACCGTTGAGTTTTTGGACGGAAACTCCACACGTGCCTTGCACGCACGAGACTTGCAAGGGCAAGGTTGTCATTTTGACAACCCCACCAATTTTCTTTCCAACTTTCTCTTGAACCAAACACCCACTTCTCCCCATCTCCACCACACCACCGCCCATGGCATCCGCCACGAAATCCCTAATCCAAACCCTAAGATGTTACATGAAGAAGCCATGGGAGATCACCGGACACTATGCTCACCCACAATACAAGGACGCCGTCCCCAAAGCCACCGAGTACCGCGTCTTCTGCCCCGCCACCGTCCCCGTCAAGTCCATCATCCCAACCTCCGATCCAGAAACTATCTACGACATCAAGTACTTCTCTTGCGATCAGCGCCAAAACCACCATCCGATTTGACAAACCGTCTTGAAGAAATTTGATATCGAGAAGATGATGAAGGAGACGACTTTCGATGTCAATGACTTTCCCAGGCCTTATTTAACTTCTATGATTGAGGAGGATTTGGATGCCATTGGAGGAGGTTACCAGAAATGAGGTTAATCATTTGATTTTTCCATAAAATTGTTTGAATTTAGGGTTTGTTTGATGATGATGAATTGTTTATCTGTTCAAATTATGTAATAAATAAATTGTGTAGGTATTTTCTATTTATTGGCTTTTTGGGTATTTATTATTATTTTTTTCTTTTTTATTTATGTTTCTGCATTCTCATCCCCTCAAGCTTGTTGTCATAATAATTGTAGGGTTTTTACATAGAAAGAATTGATGCTCCATTTTAGTTTTGCTTTTGTAAATCACTGGAATTAGGTTTGACTGATACAGTTATAAAGCATTGGATTTCTTGTATTATTTAGTTTGAGGCAGGGATTTTAGAAATGCAGCAGTTATTCATTTGGAATTAGGAATTTTCTGTGGAGTTTCATTGAAACTGAATAATTTTATAGTGGACCGTAAATAATTGGGTTTGATAGTAAATAATTTTATATAATAAATTGCATACAGATTTTTCTCTTTATTGGCTTTAGGGCACTTTTGATGTTTCTGGATTATCATCCCCTCAAGCTTGTTCTCATAACTGTATGACAACCATGCCCTTGCAAGTCCTGTGCGTGCAAGGCACGCGTGGGGTTTCTGTCCAAAAACAAGACGGCTGTTAACTACTGGACCACATAGAGCCAAAAACCAAACTGTAGGGGCAAAATTGATGAAATTAGAAGTACAAGGACCAAAATGCAACCACGGGTAAACTATAAGGACCATTTTTGTACTTTGCCCATTTTAAAATTATGGACTCCACCCATTATACAAACTACAAAAACTCAAAGCCAATAAAACTACACCACATCATCCGTTAGTACACTGGTAAACCAATTGGTGTGTATAGCTTTATTCTTATATTTTACACAGGAAATATCATTTTGCCCCCCAAAGTATCACGCTTTTTTCACGTTGACCCCCACACTTCGATTTATTTCAATTTAGTACCTGAACTTTCCACAAATTGATCAATTAGACCCTTGTCGTCACCTTCCGTTTATAATTGGACAGAATGTACTGACGTGGCATTTAAGATTTCATTTTACCCCCCAAACTATACCTTAAAAATCAATTTATCCCCCAAATTAAAAATCAATTTGCCCTCCAAACTATACTTTAAAAATCAATTTGCCCCCCACATCAACACATTCCGTCCAATTGTGGACGGAAGGTGTCGGTAGGGATCTAATTGATCAATTTGTGAAAATTTCAGATACTAAATTGAAATAAATCGAAGTATGGGGGTCAATGTGAAAAACGCGTGATAGTTTGGGGGAAGAAAATTATATTTCCTCTATTTTACATGCATTTCACCTACATTTTCTCTTTTCCTTTTCAAATCTCTTCTTTCCGAATCCATGAACCAAAGAAACACAACCTAAGGGCCCATTTAGTAGAGCAAATGAAATCATTTCATTTTGTGTGGATATTGAACATGATTACAAACTAGGACATCCAAATTTATGTAATCTAATATGTAAATAATTAAATTCTAAAATTGCCTGATTCACTTGACATTTATGGGAGAACCAAACCACCATACCATATTCAATTGTTTATAGTCGAACAAAGCAATAATTAAATCAAATTCGATGCATAAAAACAAGGTCTAATCAACGAGAAATGAAATCAGAGAGAGATAATCAATCAAAACTAAAGCCTAATTTCCATTTCCAAAGCAATTGGTCGTCGAATACAAACGAAGCAAGGTTAGGATAAAAGTGAGCAAGCAAATCAATGACATGCTGAAGAAGAAGATCAATGGAATTCGAGACAAAAACAGACACATACAGAGACGATGTCGCCATCGCACCAAGGAATCTCATCGCCACCGCTGAAGAAATTGCCCACCGACTCGAAGAATTTCCCAATCGCCGCTTCCATTTACGTTCTCTCTGCTTCGAGAGGGCTGATGTGATGATATAATTATAATAAATTACCAATACCCTCTGCTTAAAGACAAATTCTGGGGTTGGTTTTGGCATTTTGGGTTTTTAATTACTCTTATTTTATTTAGATAGGTTATTTTAGTTTTGTGTATGTATTTAGTTGAATTTTTTATTTCATTGTTATATTGAAAACCATATTTGAAATGACGTGGGTAGAGAAATGAAAAAATTATTCCTAATGATTGAATGATTGCGCACTTATTTTCAAAAGCAAAATCAACTTTTCGCCTAATGATTGAATGATTGCGCACTTATTTTCAAAAGCAAAATCAACTTTTCGCCTACTTTCAAATGAGTTGTACTTGTTTTTTATTGATAAAGAGTAGTGCCTTGTACCCCCAGTGGGGGTCGCACCGGGGGTCGCACCCCCACTGGCTGACAGTTCAAAAAAAAAAAAAAAAGATAGTTTTTTTCGCCCCAATCATGGGCCGCCACCTCACTGGGGGTCGACCCCCAGTGGGGGTATAATGCATTTTCGATTGATAAATTACATTTATATCTTCTGATATTTAAGTTTAATATATATTATTTTCTGACATTTGAAAAATTACACTAACTCTATTATTGTAATTATTTAGACAGAATGAAAATATTGAATTCATGCACTATCTTTTTTCCTACTTTACTTTACTTCCTTTTTCTTTTTCTTTTTCTTTTTCTTTTTTTTTTCGTTATTTGCTTCACTTTTTTTCCCCCAATATAATTTTCTTTATTTTTCTACTAGAGTTGTTGCATTTTATATAAATAGTGAGGTTTGTGAAATGAGACTATTAACTACAGGAGTGAGAATATAATTTTCAGAACGTCAATGGGTGAGATGTAATTGGACCAAATCTCAGGGGCATTAGTGTAATTTACTCATTTTTTATTTACATATACTTTTTGACTTTTTTTTAAAAAAAAAAAACTACTTTGAGGCTATTTTAGTTCCTAAATTCGCTTCTCAAACAACTTCTTCTCTAAAAGCATTCTCATTGGATCTCCTAAGACCATCTCCAACGGTTCACTAAAATTGATATCAAATTCAAATTTTGATGAAAAAGCTACTGTTCACTGCTCCAACGGTTGCACCAAATGAATATCAGATTGAGATTTCATCAAAAAATTCATCAAACTGACGACGAAATACTGATTTCACCAAAACACTGTTGGTGACAGTTGGAGGGAGACCAACCGGTCAACCAGCCGGTTGACCAACCGGTCGACCACCAAAAGGTTCAAACAGTTCCAAAAAAAGGTTCAAACAGTAAAAAAATAAATAAATAAAATAATTTTTGCCTTACCGGTTGACCAGCCGGTCGACCACTAAAAGGTTCAAAAAGTTCAAAAAAAAAAAAAAAAATTCGCTTAACCGGTCGACCAACCGGTTGTCCTAGCGCAAATTTGATGAAAGTTCACCGTTGGAGCGAGTAATATCAGATTTGGTAAAATGGGTCATTTTTTACTCAGATTTGATGAAAAAAGAAATGCACCGTTGGAGATGCTCTAAATCCATCCCTTACCCAATTTAGGGATTCTTTCTTCATAAAATCAATCACATCAGCTCCCCTAAAGCAACATTATAAGAAATGCTAAAGTTGCTTCCCAAATGTAGGGAACAACTCTTCACCCCCAAAAAATATAAAATTATTTTTTATTCAACCATCATTGGCTCTTAAGCATCTCCATCCCCAAAAATATAAAATATAAAATAATTAAAAAAAATATTTTATTATAATAGAGAAAGAATAGGGAGCTTGTTGGGAGAAATAAATGAAAAAGTAATTCTTAAAATAGAGAATGAAATTGTAATAACCCATTTTTTTATTTTTAAAACAGCCAGTGTATAATTTAATTGAGCAAATTTTTGAATTTGATTGCTGTGTAAATTTTGTGCGAAAATAGTTCGGTTTTGTATTTTTTTAAAATAGTTTCCGATCTCAAAAAATTATGAAATTTTTATATGTTGTTCACATACGAGTCTAGCACGTTGGGTAAAAATTTTAGAATTTATTGATGAGCATTTATTTTATGAAAATTTACGGACTGATTGGTGTTCAGTTTAATTTATAGCAAAATTCTGTTATTTAATTTTGAATGTTTAGATCATGATTTGGATAAATTTGTTGGGTCTATTTTGGTATATAATTGGACCATGTTTGGCTTATGGTGGGACCCATGACTAGTTTTAATTTAATTTGAGTTTATTTTGTGACTCATGTTTAACTGTTTGGTTCTTTTTAATTATGTGATTGGTAGTAACCACCTTGAGAGTTGTTATTATTTATTATATAGGAGTTATAATAAATATTTAATAGTTGATTTTATGATGTGTGTCATATGATGAAAAATTATATATTTTATAAAGAATGAAAATGTGTGTATTTCGTAGTGAGCAAAATATTATATTTTGTGGTATACAAAAATATTATATTTTGTGATGAGAAAAATTATATCATTGTATAATTTATATTATAAAATTTTTTGAAATATTATTACAAAAATTATATTTTTGGGGAAACTAAATTTTAGAAAGCAAACCCCTGTGAGTAGCCTCCCCACTTTTCTTTCCATCTTTTCATTTCCTTTCATGATTCATTTTTTTTGGCTGGGAGCAGAGAGCTCCACCTCTCTCTCTCTCTCTTCCTTCTATTGTTGGCTTAAGCTTTGAGTTTAGAGTGAAAGTTTTTAGAGTGAGATTTTGCAAAAGTGTTGTAAATAAAAGTCAGAAAGCTCGTCGTGGTCTTTGCAATGGTAGTCTCGGATTCATGATCGGGCAAGATTTGCCTTTCAAATCTGCTTTTTTTCATTATTTGAGGTTGGGACTTTCTTTATATTTTTACATTAAAGCTATGTTAGGGTTATTTTGAGAAAAATATATCATTATAAGAGGTATTGTATATATATATATATATATTTTCAGATTTTTGTCTGGTAATTTTTGGAAGAAAAATTATGTTGAAATGTTAAGAATGTTGGCATTTTGAGATTGATTTGGGAAAATCATTTTGTGTTTATAATTTTGTAAAGAAATCCGAAAATAAAATTTAATAGTTATATGGATTGTCTCTACATCATATTATGGTTAGATGATTTATTTTGAGAAATATAAAGTTAAATTTTTTTTAATCTTTGATTTGGAATTTATTTTTGAGAAAAATAAATTAATGTTGAGGAATATGGAGTAAATACTTAAGTAGGAATTACAGAGTTGTTTTGGGATTAAAAACTCTAAAAATGTTATATTCATGATATTTTATAAAAGATGATATGTTGATGATTAAGTTGTGTCTAGTTTTATGAAAATAAAAATGTGAAATGTGAACTTTCAAACTCATAACTTTGAAAATGTTAATATTGAGTATATTTCATAATTTTTAATGTAAACATCATGTTGGTTAAGTAATTTTAGAAAAAGTTGTGAAATTGTTATTGGTAGAGAATTTGGTAAAAATATTGCCTCTTTAAATAGCTTGGCATGAAAAATGGTTATGTTTGAGGGATGAGGCATATGAAGTTAGGTTTGGTATTATTAATTTGAATTTTTTTTTAATGTAATTAACTTACTGATTTAGTGAATTAAATTAGTTTTGATTAAAAGGTTATATCCGTTATGGTTAAAAGTGTGTTATTGAGATTATACCATAACTTTTGACATAGTAGGATAGAAATGATAAGATTTAATAAGTAGGGATTTCCTTTGAGTTATATATATGTTTTTGCAAGATTTAGATGATTTTCGAAATCATCCTTTGATTTATTTTGAAAATTGATTGTTGATTCAAGAAGATGAGAGATTTTTTTTGAAAGTGAGTTTACTTTCTTGTTCCTTTTAAAATAGAAATTGAGGGTTTAAACTATGAGGATTGAAGAGAGATGTTTTTGGTGACTTTCTTTCAATAAATGAAGATGAGTGGTTTTGGTGAGAAAACCTAGAAATTTGGAGTTTTTTTAATAAAGATGAAGACAATCTTTGAAGACATAGTTATATTTATTTTGTGTGCCAAAATATATGATGGTTTTCATGGAATATGAGAATTGTTGAAATTTTGGAAATTGTTGTTCAAAATGTTGATATAGTCTTGAAGTGACTAAATGGTTGAGATTACTCTAAGTGTGAGAATTATGTTGCCCCATGGATGAATTGGAATAAAAGTATTTATATTCATCTTGAGAAATTAAATTGAAATAAGAAATGAGAATTTTGATCACAATGAGAATATTATGTGGAAGTGTTGAAAGTAGAATAAATATTGCATTGTATTATTAATCATTGCATTGGCATATCAATTCATTTGATAATGATGAACTTTGAAATTTGATTTGAAAACTTTGCATTGAGAAATGAATGTTGGGAAACAAGTTTTCATGAAATGATTTTGGGATAAATACGATGGTAAGTCTTGAAAGGTGGTGTAAATGATAGGTGTCGAGCCTTCCAGTTAATATTGGTAAAAATGACAGATTATAGGTGTCGAGCCTTCCAGTCAATATTGGTAAAAATGACAGATTATAAGTGTCGAGCCTTCTAATTAATATTGGTAAAAATAACAGATTACAAGTGTCGAGCCTTCCAGTTAATACTGGTAAAAATGACAAATTGGTAGTATTTGTATAGTCTACTTGCAGACACCAGCCTAGGAATTACCTAAGTTGTATTTACCATCTTGGAATTTTATTGAAATTGTTGGATTAATGCGTTTTCAAAATGGCATTGTGCGTAAGATTTTCAAAAGATGAGAAAAATATTTTTGAGAATGACATGACATATGCATTCATCTCATAAGACTATATAAAATGGATTTGATGAATTGTTTAATTATTTGATTCAATTGATAAAGAGATAATTGAATGAATTGAAAATGATGTCCAGTTGCTATTGAAACACGTTTATTTATTTAAGTTAACTTATTGTGGTTAATTAAATAAATTGGATTTAAGAGATTATGTAATAAAATCATATGGTTTTGACATGATATGATTTCACGTATATGTATGAGTATTTTGGTACTC